AGGAAGCGACCTGACCGTGACATAGAAAATACAATAATACTGTATTCTCAAACATCCCAATTGCTATCTCCCCAGAGATAGAAACAAGTTTTAACATGGGCCTACCTACAAATTTGGAGCTCAGATTTTCCTGCTCTGCCATCTCAGGAACAGTGCTAAGAGATCAATATCACCTTTCCTCTCTCAGTTCCGGCAGGTTTCGAAGAGGGTAATACTTCTGCCCTCACTCAGTCGAAGAAAGTAATACACATCAGGCCTCTCTGCTCATTTTAGACAGCAGATGCCACCAAGATGGGGCACCCAAATTAGAGAAGTCAATTGCCATCCAATTAGAGACCTCTTTCCCCCCTGAAAGTGACTACTTGGCCCTTCTACACCACATTTATCTTTAAGATTGCAAATGAAATTTCAAGGAAAAAAAAATCTCACCATTTCTAGGCATAAATTTTAACTTGTAGATAAGTTCTATGGCTGGAATGAGAAATGCAAGAGTTTTGCCACTGCCAGTTTTTGCAGCTGCTAAAATGTCTCTGCCATGTAGAATAATTACGAAAAGAAAAGAGAAAAAAAGGAATGTGTAAGTGATTTGGAAATTAACATTTTTTATTTAAAAAGTAGCATCCGTCATATGAATTTAAAATTAAGTAATGCTTAATAAATAAGGCTTATTAACTGAATACTATAACTCCCAAGACAACAATTTTAATCACTAGTTTTCTGCCTGTCAATCATCTGTGACAGAAATTCATTTCTTTTGCCCTTCTCTTTAAAAATGACATTTCTTACCTGCCTTCCAAAAGCGGTTTAATACTTTTATGCTGAATTTCTGTCATGTGTGTAAATCCCATGTCTGCTATTCCTTTCAACGTGTTCTCACTGACAAGATCATTAAGAGACTCAAAGGACGTATCCTCAAAAGCACCTGAAGAGACAAGCAATGTCAGCTTTATTTAATTGCTCCTAATCAATCACTCTAGATAAAAAGAAGTTAGTTGAATTAAAATACAACAGAGTTTAAGTATGTTTAAAACAATTGAGAGCCAATGTGGTGTAGTGGTTAAGACATCAGACTGGAAACCATGAGTTCGATGCCCACCTTAACCATGAAAGAGCATCCGAGTGACTATGGGCCAGTGACTCTTTCTCAGTTCTACCCATCTCATAGGGTGGTTGTTGCAGGGAAAATAGGAGCAGAAAGGTTTGTTTGATATCTTTACCACCTTGGCTTATTTGTAAATAAATAAACTTATAAATTTACAAACAAACAAATATCACGCAGGAAGATAAACATGGAAGGAAATATTAGGTCATCACTTAAGGCGGAGCCAAATTTAGCCAATCTATTTTGGAAAATGTGTACTGCTTAGATTTTTTTTTCACCAATGCATTCCCATATACATCACATTCCTCAATAAAATCACCAGTTTTTTCAATAAATATTCCTACATTTATTTAAATCATCCTTGAAATCCATTGAGTTCATATTTATTTGTTTAGGTTACAGCCCATCATCTATCACAAGAAAGTACTCAAAGTTGTTAATCACTACATTTTTTCTTAATGTTAATATTCTAAACAGTACGAAAGGATGTTCTTAGTACAAGTTTTATGTTACCCACAAGCCAGTGAACTAACATTTAAAATGAATAAATATTTAACCAAGACCAAAGGCTTCGCCTCTAAGCTCAATAAAAATAAAGAGATTTCAGTTTCAGTATCCTGCATACCATTCCTATCTATTTCTAAATTCCACTGTGTTTGAAAAGACTTATTTCATGCATTTATGATGTAATGGGGATATGTCAACATACAAAATCTGAGAAACAGAATTCAGAAAATTCACCTGTTAAACCCAGAGGCAAGACAGGTCCATCAGCATCATCGGATGCTTCTTCTTCAGTCAGACCCTCAGCATTTTCTTCTCCTTCTTCGAGATTCCCAGATAAAGCCCCTTGTGTTTTAAGATCTTCTTCCTCATTTTTTGCTTTTTTACCACCTGCATACGTATCACAAAACCAATTTTCATTATCAATAATTATCTCAAGATGAAGCAGTAATCTCTTGGTAAACTAGCAAGATTTTTCTCTCTTGCCATGTACATGTATACATCCAAAATAGTCTGTGTTGTTTCTCCGCGTCATATACAGTAATATATGCATAATTCTGGTACATGCATAATTCTGTATGTATGTTTGTATTTATTAATCTTGTCATGTTTATATTTGTATTAGAGGTGGAGACTCTTCGAGAGCTGTATGCAATGTAATTTCATTTTAATGTATGACGATTAGTGTACATTCAAAGTGACAATAAAGTTATTCTATTCTATTCTATACTATTCTCTCCATTGAAAGTGAAACCCATTCAAAATGTAGATTTTTAATTTTTTTATAGACATAAAAGTTTTGTTTCCTTATACCGCTACCATATACCCCTCTAAGCAGCCATGAAATAAACAAGTAAACACTGTACAACATAAAGCTTCCATTCTGGAAATGGAAAAGAATAGAATTGAAAAAACAAGATGATAGCACTTTGAAAGGAACTTAAGTTTTGTGTTGTTGAATCCAATCAGATCAAATGTCCATTTTATGAAACATTTCACCAGCTAGAAATGGAAGGATAAGAAAAATGAGAGATTCTTTCACCTAACCTTACAGATTCCATTTTATTTAGGAAAGCTAATATAGCTGTTCCTTATGAATGATCTACTTCAACCTATTGTAGAGCTGAGGGCATACACTCAGCATAGCATTTGTTTCATTATTATTGAATATCAGTATGCATTGTTACTGTGAAAGAGCTCTAATGGATCTAATCCAGTATTTTGTGACCCACAGTGGCAACCAGATTCTGATATGAAAGGAATACAGGTAGTCCTCGACTTACAACAGTTCATTTAGTGACCATTCAAAGTTACAACGGCACTAAAAAGTTACTTAAGACTGGTTTTTACACGTACAGTCGCTGCAGCATCCCCTTGGTCACATGATCAAAATCCCAATGGTTGGCAACTGGCTCATATTTATGATGGTTAAAGGGTCATGTGATCAGCTTTTGCGACCTTCTGACAAGCAGAGTCAATAGGGAAGTCAGATCCACTTAACAACTGTGCTACTGACTTAACAAATGCAATGATTCACTTAACAACGGTGGCAAGAAAAGTTGTAAAATGGGACAAACTCACGTAACCAATGTTTCACTTAGCAACAAAAATTACAGGTTCAATTGTGGTCGTAATCTGAGGATTACTTATAGTCCCTTTTCATTATCACATCCTAGCAACTTTAAGAGATAATGTTCATGATCCAGCAGGCAGCAGTATTAGCATCCAGTAATAGTATGATACTCCATGAATCTATCCATTTGTCTTTTAAAACCAACCTAATGGGTTACCATTACAACTGTTGGCTGCAAATTTCACTATACCTATGCAGTATCAAACAAAAGTCTTTCTTTCTGCTGGTCTTAAATTTCCCTGCTTTCCATTACAGTGGATGATATTGAACATCATTCCAGTATCATCAGAAAAGAAGAAATCCTTTTTTGTCTTCAATGCCATGAATGATTAACTATACCTGAATTATTGTAGCTTTTGTGTTTGGTACGTTCATGTCTATGTATTATAATTTTAAAATAAAATACATTAATAAAAAGACTACAGCAATGCTATCACGGGGAGAACAAGAACCAAGACAATAAAATAACACTCATTTAAAAAGAAGCAAAAATAAGAGCTATCATACCATTTTCTGCACAATTTTCAATTTTCCTTTTCTTTTTCTTCTTCTTCATCCCAGGTTGTCTACCGTCAGGTTTCTCAGCTTTTGTTACATCAGGTAAGTCCCCCTCTGTCATTTTGTGGTCTTTCATTGCTGTTTCTGAAATGTTGGAAACTTCTGAGACATTCTCCACTGCATTTTCTAATGGCATAAACAAAAAGGTCAATTGTTGCTGCACTCAGCGTTAAGTGCCAAAAATGTATCTGGAAATCTCATTCAGGCAACAAGGATCAATGAATATACTACACACAGTTTACATAAGAATATCAATTAAACCTTTGTATTCTATCATACTTGCTAAAGCATTTATTGAATTGAATATTATTACCACTTCAGTTTGGGCCCCTAAAAAAGACCTTGCTGGATCACACCCTTGTCTCATCTGATCCAGCAGGCTATTCTCACAATGGCCAGTCAAGCTGCTGGATAGCACCATATCTCATGGTAGTAAATTCTTAGGTTAGTATTATACGTATAAAAATATACCCTTTGTTGATCACGATTCTTTTAGGATTCCATTTCATTGGGTCACCTCCGGTTTTAACATTTTGGGAAGAGGAAAACAGCTTCTCTTTGTCCACTTTACCCACATAATCCATAATTTTGTACACGTCACTCATTCGTCTCTTGCGTAGACTAAAAAGCCCTAATATTGCAACCTTTCTTCACAAGGAAGCTGCCCCAGGTTCAACCCAATTCAAATGTAGGAAATGAGCAGGCTAATCCCCAGGATGGGGCAAATGTGTCATGTCATCAGTCTGAAGTCACTGCACTCCTATAACAGACCCCAGTCTAGCCCCTGGTGAATTCCACGGACCCTTATGTAGTGCAAATTTGGCTTATTTTATTTAGTTAGTTAGTTAGTCAAACATGCAAAAGACAACAGGTATAAGTATAAACATAAATATGAACACAGCAAATGGGTATTAATAAATGAAGACAGGAGGCACTTTGGTGCAGTTATGCACGCCCCTTACAGACCTCTTAAGTGTTGGGGTGAGGTCAAAAGATTAAAGTCTAAGATTAAAATTATGGGGTTTGGGGATATAACAGAGTCAGGTAGTGCCAGGCATTGACCACTCTGTTATTGCGACTACCCTCAGTAGATCAGATTTTTGTGCCTAGATGGCATGAGGACCCAGATTGTTTGGGGCCAATATGCTGACTCTGTAAACTGCTTAGAGAGGGCTGTAAAGCGGTACATGAGTCTAAGTTCTACTGGTACGTCATAAACTTTTAGTAATTTGAACTGAACTCCTGTATCAAAACTCCATCATCCATGCATGAGCTGGCCTTCCTTTCCCAAATAAAATTATCCACAACGTTTCTTTATGTCATGTAAACATACCACCCCTTCCCCCATCCAGGCAACGTCTTTGCAAACGATCGATAGGGTGGGTTTGCATCTACACCGGTAGCGTTTCATGTCAAACGTTGCTGAGAAGCACACTTAACCCAAGGTGGCTAATTCTGATATTATGACTAACCCGCAATCCGGGAGCCCCTTCCTTATGATTCTTGACAAATGTATCTTTTCATGTCTTTTTATGTACACTGAGAGCATATGCACCAAAGACTTGTGTGTCCAATCACACTTGGCCAATAAAGAATTCTATTCTATTCTTTCTGTGTAAGAGGCAGTCGAGTCTTCCCTGAAAAAAACATGCCATTTCAATCATGCCACCGGCTTCCTCCCATACCCGGGGATGGGGAAGACTGGGACTAAATGGAAAGAAAGAGACGGTGGTGATGGTGATGATAATGACCTTACCCAGCGTTTCTCCCGCAGGCGATGCTCCCGCAGCCAGGCTTGGATCGGCGGCTCCTTGCTGGGCCAAATTGCGCTGACGGATCTTGCGGTTGCGCTTTTCCAGTTTCTTGCGCAGAAGCCGCATCGGAAGCTTCCCGGTATTCGCCGCCATCCTTCCGCCAGAGCGAAGACCGGAGAGGACACGTGCGCCAGAGGAAGGAAGGAAGGAAAAAAAGAGGACGTAATCGGAAATGACAGCCGGAGATGTTCCAACACGGCCTCACGGCCAAAGGCTCCCGTGTAGCGACTCCTAGAGGCTTGGAGGTATGATTGATCCTCTCTTTGCAATGTGTTTTCAAACACATATTTCGGAAGGCGCGGTGTTTAAATCAAGTATAAAATATAAGCATGGTGCAAAATACAATGGGCTTGTAAAGGGCGTTTGTATGAAGAAATTCCCTGTGTCTCCATCCAAGATATCTGCCTGTTTGCCTGCCTGCCTGTGAAAATATGTTTGGAGCCCAAGTGAGGTTGAGCAAAGAAACTTCTCTATAAACAAAGATGCATGTATATTTCTATTTTGTTTAATTTCTAGAATAAATGTTTAAATAAATAAACAAATAAATGTTTCTAAGATAAATGTTTCAAAAGTTGAAGTTAAACCAAAGGATTTCCAACAGATCATTCCTGTTACATTTTAGGCTACTTTTTTTTCCCTCTCCTAACTCTGTTTCTATAATTCCCTACTAATTTTGCACATATTTTCCTGTGCCCCACAGATATAGTCTGCTGTTTCTAACTTCCCACTGTATAATCCACAGTTCTCCCTGGTAAATTGAGGAGGAGGAATTAATTTCTTTACTAGAGAGATTTTCCTTTTAGTTTATTTTTGTCTGTCACACTGTCAGTCAGATGTTTAGACCTGATTTGGCATTTTTTTTGTCCACCTATCTAAAATTATTATTATTATACTTTATTTTTTTATTTTTGGGGAGGGGATGATGGTCTTGTGCTTATCCCAAGCATGATTAAACTCAGTTACTGATGACTGACCTGCTATCCTCCAGGCTGTACAAAGTCAGTTCATCCAATCCCTGCTGCTATGTGTTGTCCCTCAGACTTTGCACCATTTTTGTTGCCCATCTGTGGACTCGCTCAATCATGGGGTCGGACTAAAAACTGTAACTGAGTTACAACTACAATTGATCCCAAAATGTATGTTGCTTAAGTGAAACATTTGTTAAATGATTCCCGCCCCCCCATTTTACGACTTTTTTTGCCACAATTGTTAAGTGAATCATTGCATTTGTTAAGTTAGTAGCACGGTTGTAATATGAATCTGGCTTCCCCAGTACTTTGCTTGTCAGAAGCGCGGGAAAGCTGATCACATGACCGCAGGACACTGCAGTCATCATTAATATGAACCAGTTGCCAAGCATCTGAATTTTGATTGTGTGACCATAGGGATGCTGCAGTGGTCATAAGTGAAAAACTATCATGTCACTTTTTTTCAGAGCCATTGTAACTTTGAATGATCACTAAATAAACTGTTGTAAATCGAGGACTACCTGTACAGGGGGATTACGGAAGAGGTGGGTTGCAAATCCTGGCTCTACCGGTTTGCTCGTGTGCATGCAATGCTTCTGCGCATGTGCAGAAATGACTGGGTGGATGGGTGGAGCCTCCTGCCGTCGCCACTATTGGTTTGCCCCACCCGGGCTGAACCGGGAGCAACCCACCTCTTGATTAGGGCCTCTTTTTCCGTGCTGTTTATCCCTCTAGTGATGCATCAAATTTTGTTTGCCTTTACAGCTGCCTGGCCACACATTGTTCATTTTGCAGTCATCTGCTATGAGAACACGTACCGTATTTTTCGGAGTATATGACACACCTTTTTCCCTCAAAAAAGAGGGTGAAAATCTGGGTGCATCTTATACATTGAATACAGCATTTTTGGCCTCCGAAATATCCCCCTTTGCAAAATGGCCCATTTTCTCTTATTTTTGCCCTTCCCAGCCCCCAGGAGCACTCTAGAAGCCTCCTAAAGGCTATTTATACCCCCTTTTTTGGACAAAAAATGGGCCATTTTTGGGAGGTCTGCAGAGTGCAAAACAATTTTTTTTAAAAATTTGCCTCTTCAAAACCTTGGTGTGTCTCACTTTGGTGCGTTTTATACTCCAAAAAATAGCTGTCCTTTAGATTAGATGATTTAATTTAATCATTTATTTTCTTGGTTTTCCTCATGATTCCTCCTTTGTAAGCAAAGTTATAAACATAAGCCATTACATTTTTAAAATCCTTATTTGCCCCCTTTTTCAGGTTTTTATTTTATCTTTTTCCAAGAAAATATGGCTATGGCATCTAACCATATTTGTAGGTCATCACTTTGAACTGGGCCTAGAAGCTTTCTACAACCAATATAATGGTGACAAACAATAGTCTTTTCATGGCCATGTTTGTTTATTGACTAAAACAGATTTTAAATCTGGTCATTGGTAACTTGATTATGTTTATTTTGCTTTTATGTTTTCCACTGATGCACTTCTGCCCTTTTTTTTTTGGATGCAATGATGATCAAGGTTTAGCCTGATGCTTGAGGAGGGGGGAGAAATGATGCCAGTCTATATTTTTCCTTTGTCTCATTGTTCCCTAGAAAGGTTTATAACACTGTCTGCCTGATTGAAATGCTTGATAAACTATTTATTTGCCTTGTCGTTTGCTCTCCTGGTGCACATAATGTGAACTTCTTTGGGCTGTCAAAGGCAAGAAGTTTGGCTAAATTCCTGGAAAGTCCAGTTTCTCAAATCCAGGCAACTGAATTTTCCAGCAGCCTTTTTCTTTCAGCAGTGGACAAAATGAGCTTGCTTTATTTCAGCCCCTTTGCAAATCACCAGTTCTACTGATTTACCAGCAACTAAATCCGCATCCTTGTTTGGACAGTAGATGGCGCAAGCAAAACAGTTTCATTTTCCACAATATGTTAGCAATAAAATTTGAATCATGTTTGATGACCCTTTATGATTAGGATCTTCATATAAGTAATTTTTTGTGTGCCACAACTGGGTGGATTTAATATGTGTACGGGAAGGAGGAGGAGGTACTCATGTTGAAATTCATTTTGCTTTTCTCTGCGCTTGCTGTTTGGCAGACCACTTATAAATGATTAGAAACAAATTCATATCTGAAAACTGATTTGTATTTTGAATGAGTTTGACTTTAGGAGATGACTTTTAGAAACAATCACCTTGAACGTTTCCTCTTGGATAAACTTTAGAAAAGTCTGAAACGACATGGATGTGTATGGACTCACCCCATTACAATTTTGTAAAGGGAGCCCCGGGAATGCATTTTAAGTTGTCACTGAAGCTAAAAAGCCTCTAATTGGAGTGGTGAATTCTTCATGCCGGCTTCATTCTATCTGGCTTAGAGAGATATTTCAAGCACCACTCGTCACAATTTGTGATTCTAAATCTTGACAGTTTGCTGAAGCATCCTTTCTCCGAGGAGCACAGGAGGATGTCAACTAATTTAACCTTCCTTGTCTTCTAGCTGTGACTCACTCTATTTTTGGAGAAGTTTGTAAGCCCATCAGTCAATCTGGATGGCTTGAAATAATGGATCTTCTACAGCATCTGACCCGTAAATGATTCTTCAAAACATATGCAAAACCTCATGCAAATCTATGCTACGAATTCATTGCAAGTTGTAGAACCTGGTTTGCCAAAGTTAGTTTGAAGGGGGTCTAAGTAGGATTGCTATGGCGAGGGCATTTCCATACTGTCCCATTTTCCCTCTTCCGTCATATGAAAGCAGCTGAGCTGTGGTCATCCCCAAATCTGTCCCATATTGAAAGGCTAAGAAGCAAGCAATTTTATCAGATCTTGCAGTAACAAAAATCCCCAAACATCTGGCGATAATAAAATAATTTGCTTCTGCATTGACCTCCCCATGACCACCTCCTTGTTGCACATCAAATCAGCTGACATAAGATTTGATCTAGACTTGGTTGCAGTGGTGAAATTCAATTTTTTTTTTACTATCGGTTCTGTGGTCGGGGCTTGGTGGGCATGGTGTGGCTTAGTGGGTGTGGTTTGGTGGAGGTGTGGTTTGGTGTGTGTGGCAGGGGAAGGCTACTGCAAAATCTCCATTTCCACCCCATGTGGCATTTGCAAGTTCTCTGAACTACTCAAAATTTCCACTACCAGTTCTCCAGAACTGTCAGAATCTGCTAGATTTAACCCCTGCTGGGTGGGTACTTCCAGATAAACAGGTCTTATTATTACGGACCAAAAGTTATCATGTCATTTTTCCATCTTTATTTCAACAGATTTTTGGTAGAAAGAAAAATGACCAGAGAAGCAGCTGGAGTACTTCTGGATGAGAAGCGAAACGTCTTCAAAGGAAAAACACGAAACTCCAGTTGCCTGCTGAAAAAGCACCTTTGGGACAAACATGACCTGGATGACTGAGAATCTCCATAGATTTCTTTCCCCAGTCAGGTTGGCTAAAAAAGGGAGATTATATCCCAATATTTTTCTGAGAAAAATAAATGATCCTACTCAAAAGCCGTTTCATTTTAGAGGCAGGGATGGGGATCCCCAACCATGTCTGCTTTCTCTAAATATTGATAATCATAACTCAAGGGAAAAAAAGCTTTTTTGGGGGGGAGGGAGGTTCCATATATATTTAAAATAGGGAGGGGCCCCGAGCGAAAAAAAGTTAAAGAAACATTGTGCTAGCAGAAAGTTGCATTTCATCCAGTCAATCCAAGCAGTTAACCAGCAGGGTTATTCTTGAAGAGATTATAGAATGGACAACACAACATGGCAAAAGATGAACAACTGCCTCAGCTGATCCTCTGAGGGTTAAGAGTGTTCGGTTTACAGGTAGTCTTCAACTTATGTCCACAATTGGGACTAGAACTTCTGTTGCTAAGTAAAGTTAACTGACTCATGCCCAATTTTAGGATCATATTTTTCCCATAGTCATTGAGCAAGTCACCATGATTATTATGTCAATCCAGCTTCCATCTCCCCAATTAATTTTGTTTGTCAAAAGCCAGCTGAAAAAGTCACAAGTGGCGATCACCTCATTTTCATCTGCTGCTGCTGCTCCTCCTCCCTTCTTCCTCCTCCTCCTCTTCTCATTTATTTTATTTTGCCAAGCATGTATTAAACAACATATATAAGTATAAACATGATTTTGCATCCATGAAATGGATACAAATAAAAAAG